CCAGTCCAATGTTTTAAAAGAAGGGCATTTAAGTGCAAAATGCTTGTCATAACTAAAAGATAAATTATCTATCAACTATCTTTTTGGTGTTGGGATTTGTGAATGCATAAATCCACACAACAATTCTTGGTACCTGCATTTTGTACCTGGCTGATCATATTTCTTGTAAGTTATGTAGAACTCAATAAAACTGATGCTAATCTGAGGTGATAAAAACACATGTATGGGAAACTGTGACTCAAGCACTCACAACCTTTAACCAGAGAGCCACAGATCATATAGTGGGATATGTTTTTTATGGTAATAATCTGTGGCCAACACAAGAAATATTGTTGTTTAAATATCACATTCAGCTGGTAAAAAAATTAACTCATATGCCCTCTGAGAATAAACAACATGAAATGTGTCAAATATTGGTATACATATTTGTTGCAGATGTTTGCAACTTTAAATAGATTTTAACCCTTGAAGAGGAACTAACACTAACAGCAATAAAATATGTAAGGTTCAAATCCCAACAAGTATAAAAAGATGAAGTAAATTGTCTGCAATGGCATCATATATAGGAGAGGACAGCAGGAGCTTTAAGTCACCAAGTACCTTTACATATTTCAGATGATCAATCTCATTCAGAACGGGTGTGTACCTAAACCAAATCACAGTCTCATTGACAATAGTCAAACAACTATGTCACATATATGCCCCCCCCTCCTCCTTCCTACAACTGTGTGTTATAGTATCTTATCATCTGGTTCAATGATGGTGTCAGTTCAGCTTCATTCTAGCATTTAAGTTAGACCAGTTTTTAATGCGCCTTCAGACCATCCTCACAGATGAGTCAGGTAAATCACCCATCTGTATCATGCTCAAAACAACCCATTATCAGACAGTCCATTATCCTTTGTGCTGTTTGTACATCACTTTTGTTAGATGGTCATACTAGAAATAAACAAATGAAACTAAAAGCCAGTTAGACCAAGGATAATAAAGGGTGGGGGTACCTGGACTCAGTCCAAATTTAAGCCTAAGGCAAAATATATTCCAATTTGGCCAAAAATGTAAAATATTTTACTAATAATTTTTATCTGATCTGTCTAAATCCATCCAACAGTTTGGCTAAAACAAATCTTATCCAAGAGTGAGTATGTGTGGAGTACTTCTTTCAAGCTGAACTAATGTCTTTAGGCAAAGAGGAAGTTTTCAGTTTTTCACAGAGCTTTCAATAAATTTTGGAATTAAGTATGTAGGTATGTACCTGGCATTTGTGATCAAAATAAATCCCACAGCCACAGAGACCATGGAAGGCTCACTGCTCACTATCACTGAAACCTGACATAAGCAGATGAAATTCTCTTTGACTTAGACTGGGTTCCCAACTTCCCATACTTAGATCGATCCATCTTGATCGACCTAACTTCCTGGGGATTCATGTAAAATTGCTATCAGCTCAAGAGGCTTAAATGTCTGTCACACCTACCGAATCAGCTAGGGGTAAAGATAATTACCCCCTAACAGCTTTATTAGGCGTGACATACATTTAAGCCAGTTAGTTTGATAGCAATTTAGTGAGACTCCCCAGGAAGATATATCGATCCAAATATCTGTGGGAATAGTCCCTTAGTTTCTTATTACATTTATATATATATATTTATAGGAAGTAAGCACATTTCCTCACAGTCCTCAGCAACCACTTAGACTTTGCCCCAGCACTCAACACAAACACACATTTTATTGGCCTAAAAAGCTTTGCACTAGTAAGCCTTTTCTCAAATGAAAGTGTTCACATCTAAATTTGAGGACAAGTTTTTTTTTTAAACCAAACTGGCATTACTGATAATACTCATTAGTACCCATGTCCCTATTTGGACTTCAGCATTCATTGTTTAGGTTTCAGAAAAAAAATTGTGAATTCAGAATCAGACTGTCTCCACTTTGTCATTAAGTTTTTCACGTGATCAGAGTCTTTTCAGCTTAGTGCACCAAATCAATGGCAGATCAAATCATCATACTGCATAAGAACACTTTTAACAAGTTCAGAAGTGATACAAAGCTGATATTACATTTACAGAAAAGTTTAAATATGGGTTTTGTTGGATTTTGAAAGTGATGGTGAGGAATTTTTGGCAGGAGTTTTTATAACTCTGTCAAACAATAAGGGCACCTTGGCAGTTATTCAGTTTAAATGTCAATCTGCTACCTTTAAACTATATTTCCAGTCCTACACTTACAGACACAATATATCTAGCTTGCCAAATAAAATTTCATATTCCATATCCCCTCATGCCAGCATGCACACATTTACCACAAAGTCTGAAATTGACAATTTTACAATTTCCTGCAGTGCATGTATACAAGAGATGCAGAGTTCCTCTAGGGCAAACTATTATTCAGGACAGCATCACCTTACATAAATCTAGGGTCCAAAGACTATGTGCTCATGCCAAACATACATGTAAATAGCTAGGGTAGAATTAAATGAAGAAATCAGCTGGTTAAATTATAACTTAAACTAGAAAACCATCAAACTTTAGATTTTTAAATAATGATATCCACTTTCATTCAACTCGTATCTTTTTATAACAACAATTATGCCTAAAAATTAGATGGATCTTATTTCGTACATATATTTTCAAGAACCCTCAATATTGCCATTACCTGGCCCTGAATGAAAGGGTCATGGCATGGACCTTATCTTATCAACTGTACTACTCACTGTACATAAACATGTAATCCTATCTCAGGACTGTAAGTGCAACCAAATATTGCACTCTATAACCTACCACAAACGTTAATTTGAAACAAATAAGTGAATTTATAACAGTTTTCAGTTTTTCACTATGAGACATCCCCCTCCCCTGCCCAATTGACTCGAGACTTGTGAGGTCCAATGGAGAAAAGGACCTGAATATTCCATTCTGATCATATATATCTTGTAAGGCTTTCTAGGGGCAAGTACTTACTAGTATGGTTAACATCCTAAATATGTGCTATATTTCATTTCTCTCTGGAGCTAATGTATGGTATCAGGAAGATGTTAAATATAGCATGATGCCAGTGTGCCAGATGGAATGCAAATTAATCAATCAGGAGGAGTTGGTCATTTCTGTAGGGTGAAGCCTAAACATTTTCGCTGCAATAACTATTTCATGGATTTATCTAGAGTGCATTTCTCTACTTTAAGATATAAAAGCCATAGCAATGGGAATGATATCATTCACCACATCCAATACTGTATAATGAGAAATTCCATTTGTTAATACTTATAATATCAATTTTACTCATAAAATTCATCTCAGAGGACCATTACAAATGCATCGTTAGATCCAAGCTACTGAAGGAACTTCCCAGCTAGATTTCCAAGTCTGACAAGCCATGTACTAATAGTCAATGTATCAGCCTAAAGGTTGTTTGAACAGAAAACAGCATGCTTTCAGTGCACCATTGTACAACATACATCACATCTGCAAACTATGTAAATACTGTCTCATAGTAGACGCAGGAGAAAAAACAGTGCACACCCTCTACAGGCATAAGCTGTTATGGACCTATTCATTTAATAATGGAATCAGTATTGAGGTCCTAAAAAGATTTATGTAAGACCCTAGAATGCCTAATGGACCATTCCCAGACCCTATCATACCAACTAAGGATTGATCGATCTCCAAGGGGATTCTCACTAAATACTAGTAGCAAACAACTTAAGCAGCTTAGATGTCTGTCATGCCAACTGGAGCTAGGGAGTAATTAATTATCATTGAGCAGCTTCAGTAGGAGTGCCAGACATATAAGTGGCTTAAGTTGAAAGCAACTGAGCGAGAAACCCCTCACAGATGGATTGATCCTGACAGATCGATCTAGGTATAGGAACCCAGTCTAAGAAGGTGTAATCTAATGCCCTAGGATGTTCACAACAACTTAACAACAGGTGATAAATTGAACCTGTAACACATTTGGTATGGTTCTTATCTGTCTAATTAAGTTCACTACCTGACATTAACACTATTTACTTAGTTTGTTAAATCACACACTTGACAGAGGGCTCTAGAAAACACAGTGCAAAAGGTTGTCAACATTTCTGCATCTCTCCCTCTACAAAAGAAGAAGGATATATCTTAATGTCTCTGGTAGTTTCCATTCCTTATACAGTGTATCACATTGTATGCATTGCTTTTTTTTTTCAAACTGGACTATTTAACAATTAGAGAATGATTGCTGCTAAACAAGTATATGTGTGGGAGTAAATTTCTACATCAAGTCAATGTCACCGCTGATAACCATTTTAACACTCGAATGTGCCACTAACTTCCTTTCTAGTAGTTGTAAAACTATTACCATTGAAGATGGCACACCTTTCATACAATGAAAAGAGAAGATTGTGAGTTTCAGGTTGTGATGACCAAAAAAAAAAGGTTAAAATCACAAAAAGAAGCTATTTATTTATCAAGTTTGTTCTACTAATTCTCTCTGTGTGCTGTTAAACTGGCAAAACCCTATGTCACACCCTCGGCAGAAGTCAGTTAGCAATGGCCATCTGAACAAAGCTCAATCTGCACCTGGTATTATATTATATTATAAAGGTATGCACTTTTTTGCTGACTTTGGTCAATATCATATATATATGCCTAACTGCTGTTACAGATGCATGCCAAACTTTGTATGAATAACTAAATCACGTCAACCACAAAAGAGGTAACATTCAGTGCTTGAAATAACTGCCAGCCAAAAACCACAGATTTTCCAGCCACAGATTTTCCAGTGGGACCCGTTTAATATGCATCATATTGGCCCAAAGGTATAATATCATATTATGCCCTAATGTGCCATACCTTTGACTTTGTGTCAAATAACTAAGTTTTTTCCCCAAGTAAAGTATAATTATACAATATGATCAATATATGTTGGGAACAGTAACAGTTCTTAAATTGTTAATAATACTTGAAATTTATTGGCTCAGTTGACCAGTAAAAAAAATATAAGTACTTTACACTGTTATTACTTACCTGTATGGCGACCAGAACTGGCGTTCCTACTAGTATAGCATCCAGTAATGTGTGGCGTAACCATCTCCCAAATGGACCTAGTTTATCTGAAAATAATCATAATTATCTTAAAAGGCTTATCAATGCAATTTCTGCTCTGCTTATGATTACATTTTCTTCTTGCTTTTTTGATAAAAGCCATGAAAATAAAAAGACAGTATGACTAGGAATAGACAAAAAGGGCAAAGAGATTTCGTGGTCCAAAGATATTCAACACTCTCAAGATGTATGGGTCTTCTGTATATGTATAGCCTTGACTTGCATCTTGGCTATAATTGTGTTTGCTTGCTTATGTTACTAGTACAGCCTTCATGCTGAATCACATAAATAATACACTATTTTCATATAAGAAGTTAAAAAGGACAATTAAAAAAAGTCATTTGATCATCAAAGTCCTTTCATAAAGGGTCAATACACGAACCCTTGGTGAATCTTGTTAAGTCTCCTAAAAGTGAAATTCTATTTTACCATGCAATAAATTTAGCTTTTAAAATAAGAAAACAAAAACAAAAACAGTGACTAACAACATCAACCACTGCAAGATTACTAATCATGCCACATTACTAAATGTGGCAATAATTTTCAATATCATAACAAAAGTAAAAGAGAAAATTCAATTGATTAGTTGAATTTTGCTCTGGTTTAAAAAAAATCCCTTTCATCTTTTCCCGTCATTCTCATCCCTGCCCATAAATTTTTAATGACCGTGTCTCTTTCTACTGACGCATAAAAAATGTACTAGTAAATACACTTTCTATACATGTTTCTCTTCTTAATTCATCATAACATAATAATAATTACAATTATAATCATAAACAATGCAGCATCAAATTGATAATATATTGACAGGTACCAAGACTATGCTATCCACTATGAAATGTCCAGATAAAACAGCTGCCATCTTAATCTGTCACAACGTCATGTGCAAAGTGCAATCAAATAAAAAAAATTACAAATATTTATGCGAAGTCAATTATGTTGAGCATTTAAAGCCGCTGGGGAAAGCTCATTGTTAAAATGACTCTACGGCACTGACTCATTAATGAAGTACCCAGCCCACAAATATTCAAATTACTCCCAACTCCCTTCGAAAGTACTGTAAAACATTTGTTTTTAGAATTATCAACATGACTAGATTAAATAAGTCAAGTTAAATAATGCACACTAGGGTCAATAGTGACGGCTGTACAGTGGCAGTAGCAACGTATGAATAATAAGTACTATTATATCACGTTCAATGAAGCGTAATGAAGGAACACATTCACAGTCGAATTATTGAATTGAAATCGTCGCCGTTAGAAATGGGCCATTCAATGTTTACTACCCTTTACTCAAGACGAGATTTGTTTCACCTCAGGCAATCCCTAAAAGTCGCTGGCCTGCCGGTTGATTCGGTTGTTTTTAACCGTCACAACTGCTAAACTCAAATAAGTCTGATTATATATAATGATAGATTACACTGGACATGGGCGCTGAAGTTCAGACCGGAGAAACTGAAGGCTGGTTTACTACGGTGTTTCAAGTGAAAATATTTAAACTGTTTCAATTATCATAAAGTTACTTACCTATAGGAGCTGGGTATACACCATTAAATCTCCTCCGCTGCATTGGGACCGAGCTATCTGATTTTTTCCGCCCCTCATGCTCGGCCCCGTCTTCGTTCATCTCCATGTTTCCGACAGCTAATATTCGTCGATTAGTTTCGAACAAACTCTGACAAAGATTCTCATATGTAACCTTTTAAGGGTAATGACAAACTTCTATACACACTCCGTTTCGCATAAACACTAGCAGATTGTTCAAAAGTATGAGTGGGTCATTTCCTATTTCATGAGAAGTGAAAAAATTTAACGAAATGTGCCGGTCTGCTGCAGCGTGACTAACTCTGTAAGGCCAAAGGTCAGTAAAACGAGGTCGGTGAATCATGTGATTTCGTGGGGGTTAGGAATATTCGTCTGCTTTATGCAATAATGTGACCGCTTGATACAGCGTTATCTACCCAATGACACTCAATACGTCCTCGGATATACTGATAGAAGAAGAAGGATGGCCTTTTCTGCTGTCTGTAAGCTATGGACGTTTGCTATAATAGGACTGGTACTTCTCGGGATTGGAATCGGTTCAATATTTGTCATCAATTCAGTGATCCGCGATGAAATAAACAAGGTACTTTTTAATATCAGACTGTCAGTGTCACTGTCACGAGTTAAAATCTTGGAAAGTGCATGCTTCTTGTGGTGATATGATCTTTGAAACCTGGGATTTTGGCATGGTAGTCCGAGCAAAAGGACTAATGGAATAATGGGAATAATGGAAATGTACATTACTAGTACATATGTACTTTCCCTGGTATCTAAAAGTTACATGTACAAGTTACATGCAAAGTTTTAAGTTACCATGTAAAAGGCCGTATGTTATTAATTCATGCAGTTTGCTCCCAAACTTTCCAAACCAGTTTATTTGAATAGCAGAGACATAAATCAAAGTCGCTATTAATTTTGATGAACATAAGAAATTAAAGATTTATATTGTGGGGGAATACTGCTAAAGTACCCAAACTTATTTAATTGATAAATATTTGAAGTTTGATTTTTAATGATTTGCTGAATGACTTTGATCAATTGTTGCAATTTATTTACTGATTTTTCTGTGATCAATCTGAAATGAACTTGGCTCTCATTATATTTAATGGGCTTGAAGTTTCTTGTAAAAATTAACAGCTAAAATTATTGCCAAACTGATTTATTTGAAAAGCAGAGACATTGATTAAATACCATTATAATAATTATGAATGATCTAAAAAGGTAAATAACTTAAATATTATCAGCATATGTTAACAATGATTTAGAGTTTTTATTGGATAAAATTCAATTATCCATTAGTATTATCTTTCATTACTTTCTAAGATGGAGCATTATACAGAGTACTTTCCTTTTCTCTTCTACTTAAATACAGACCAAAATACATAAAATCTCAAATTACCAGTGCCCAGATGCTTCACTTCTAAGTATAGTTGACAGTTAGTGATTGGTAATGAATAAGTAAACGATTCCTAAAACTGATCACATTTATTACTGTTTTCAGCAAGTGGTTTTGACTGCAGATTCAGAAACCTACAGTGCCTGGGTTAATCCTCCAGCAGAAGTTTACCTCCAGTTCTGGGTTTTCCATGTGGAGAATCCATATGAGATTGTTCACCGTGGGGACAAACCAGCTTTGAAAGAGAAAGGCCCCTACTCATACAGGTTCATAGTCACTTAAGTAAAACTAATTAGCTTAAAATAATTTACAGTAAATATATGGTATCTGTCTGATATTTTTAAACATCTTGTTTTTTATGTCTCAGCAGAGTCTAAGACTGACTACCATTAATATCTATAGGAAAATGTATTCATTTGTGTTGACTGTAGTACTATCCAAATGGTAGTACAAAAATGAACCACTTTTTATTGTTTTGGTGTTTCGACTAATATTTTATGTTTAACATGTACATTATATTCTTGCTGTACATGGCAGAAGGCCTGTTTTATAGATTTGGCAATTAAGCATGCATTTGAAGTTTTCTTGTTTTACAATTTTGTTCATTTCACACTTTCACGGTTGTATTTAATGGTGTGTTAAACATTTATGTATATATCTAATGTATGCAAGATACAGCCATTATTTTGAGCATGTTGTCTTACACAGTGAATTAAGTAGCCAATGTATTTAATTTATATTTTATGTAAAATATTTTCATTTAGGGAAGTAAAAACAAAAGAGGATGTGAAATTCCATGATAATGGCACAGTGACATACAGAGAAACAAGGACTATGTATTTTGATCCAGACACGTCTAGAGGAAGTCAAGATGAAGTGCTGACAGTTGTTAACCTTCCATATGTTGTAGGTTGACCAAGATGAAGAAAGAAACATGTTTTCATTTTGCTCTGCTTAAAATCTTTTGATGAGTAGTTGCTTTCCTTTATATTTACTTTGAGTGCAACATTCAAGTTTTTACTTCTAAATTATTATTTAAAAAAATGTTGTGTAATGGATTAGTTGCTTTCCACTTACACAATTAGGGCTATGTTTTTTTCCTAATTTCTACGCAATTTTTGGTAGCTTTTAAAGTACCATCACGGACTTGTGTGTGTCATTTATTGTTTTGTTATTGTTTATGTTTGAACTTTAAGTCAGGTACATAATAATTACATCTCTTTCAGACGGTAGCCACCCTGCTCAGGTTTGAGTATGACATTATCAAGGATTTGGTCCAGGACATCTTAAAAGCTACCAATGAGACACTGTTCATAAAGCTGTCTCCAAGGCAGCTGATTTGGGGCTATGAAGATACTCTTCTTAAAGATATAAAAATGGGATTGAAAAAATATTTCAATTTCACTCTTCCTTTAGATGATACCATTGGTTTGTTTTATAAGGTAGGATGTTCCCTTAGTCAAATTCTGGACTTATTTGAAGTAGCATTGGTTTTTATGTTGAATTTCTGACAGTTCATTTACGTAAACTTTATTCTTGGTTATGGATTCATGAATACAGTAAATGAATATAGCATGCATATAAATGCACACTAAAAGTAATTAATTTTCTAAATACAGGTTGTTAATGTTAAGTATAACTGTGCCTGTAGTTTGATTCATTTCTTTTTTTAGCAAAATGGATCTGATGATGGAGTTTATAATATCTACACTGGAAAAACGGATCCTTCTTTATTTAATACTATCAATTTATGGAATTATTCAAGGTAGGTATTGCATGATTGAGTTGTCCATTTTGTCATTTTCCATTTAAATATCTAAAGTGACCCATAGTATCTCAGGAAATAAGTTAAATCAGTTGTTTGTAAATGGAGTTGCTCATATTTTGTCAATATATACATCTTCTCTCTCTATGGTGCCATGTGATTCAGATGTTGGCTGTTACACCGTGCCTCCATCTGCCTTTTTCTACTTCATGTCGCAATATATAATATATACATATCACTGGTTTCCCTGATCTCTGCAAGACTACTTATGTTAAGAACATCTATCTTATGCTTTTTGTATAATTGTAAGACAGTACCAGAGTATATGTTGAATATTATTTCTTGTAGTATTTTGGACTACTGGACCACACCTGGAGCTAATGCAATAAATGGAACAGGTGAGATTTTATCTTTAATATGTATGATACATATAAAGATAACTGTAAATGCATGTCAATGAGAAAATTTCTAACTGCATGGATTTTTTTATTTTACACAAATTAATGAGCTCTGAGTTAGTCAAAACAGTGTACCAGTAGTTGTAGTTTAGCCTGTAGATTTTAGAAAAGGTTGAAAATCATGATAACAGTGCTATTTATAGTTTAGAGAGGTAACAATTGATCTTTTGCAACCTGGTGTTTTTCAGATGGAACATTTTTTCACCCTTTTATTACTAAAGATGAAACTCTTGAACTATTTTCAACAGACATATGCAGGTGAGATTTATTTTACACAAAAATATCGATGGAGAAGGTTTTGGCTTATTTTGAAATGAAAAAGATAAAGAAAGAAATAAAATGCTAGGAAGTATGGATCAAACACTGAGATTAACATAAACCCTCACCCAGCAAACTAAGGGGCCATTCACAATGAATTTCGAAAAGCTGATGATTGTATGAGAAAGTTGAAAACAAGGGGAGACGTGTTTAAGTCTGTTAACCTGATGGCATTCAGCAAGGGTCCCTTTAGAGTTGGCTAGTGCGCATTGGATAGGTTGACAAAATTCAGTGTGAACAGTCCCTAAATTTGTTCCAAATCTAACTCTAAGTAGAAGATGGTTTATGTTCAGTTATGCATTTTTTTATCATATTTGAGAGAGACTGTTTACACACAGAGCTGACCAATTAAAAAAAATTGGGGGGGGGGGGGGAAGAGGGAGAGAAACAAATTTTTTTTCATTATGGGGGCTGTGAAATCATTCTACTTCACTACAGATTTGAATCAGCATTAGATTTGTTTTAGTTAACATAACCTATTGGTCACTGGGACAGGTTACTGGGTATGAGCACTTAGTGCCTTGTCATAGGGTGCAGAAGTGATACACATATCTTCTGTGTTGTAAGATGAGATAAGACATAGGGCAACTTCAGTGCACAGGACTTATGCTTTTATCAGTGGGTAAATAAAGACATTTTGGTACTGAATTGAATACATATATGTTTTAAGTGTGATATCCTGGTATAGGGTTTTATACATTTTAATTTAGTTAATACTGAGTTGTCTTCTAACTGTTTTTGTATTGTCTTTCTTTAAGTTGAATTATTAATTCTGGAATTAACTTTTATTTATTCAACTACCTGTAGCAGTTATACAGGGGTAACTGGGGTTGTGTTAAAAAACTTATTGTTTAGAAATACAGGGAACTTACAGGGGCGGATCCAGAGATATTTTCTGACAGTCTTCCAAATTATCTTTGTTGGACCATCCCCATTTTTGACCGTCTTCCGACAGGAAAAGTTAGATACCCGTCTATATAAAATCTTGAAAAGACTTGAAATTCTGACCGTCTTCCGGAAGACCCAGAAGAGGGCCTAAATCCACCCCTGACTTAGTGTGGTACAGTTTCTGTTCTATGTACTAAATAAGTTCAGGGAATGATACATCTAGGAAGAGGGCCTAGAGCCAAAAGCTTGGATAGGATATTATATCTTTTTAGTAGACCTTCATAGATGTAGATGCATCATCAGGCCCGTAGCCAGGGGGGGTTCAGGGGGTTCGAAAGAACCGCCCCTTTTTCTGGGAAAAGGTCCACTCTGAGTAAAATTTGACCTAGGTACATAGAGTTCTTAAGGGAAAGGTCCACTTTTTCAGAAAAAGAACCCCCCTTTTGAAATTGCTGGCTACGGGCCTGATCATTATGATAACTTATTTCATAAAAATCTATACGGTGACTTGATATGAATCTTCAGTGTATTATGTACCAGTATGCTAATGTGTCGAAGATTTTTTTTTTAAGAAGCTATTTTAGGTAAATATTTTTCCAGATCTATAGGTGCTACATATGAGCAAGAAATGACCGTCCTTGGGATCAATACTTACAGATTTGTAGTGCCTAAACAAATATTACAGGACTATGAACACTACCCACCAAATGTTGGCTTTTGTACACCAGACAAAACAAGGTGTCTGGGTGCAGGACTATTGAATGCTACTGTATGCAAACAAGGTGGGTACAGTGTAGCTTTTGTTAATGGCATGCATTACTTTGAGTCTGTTACCCACAGCAGTCTCGGCATATTTGTTTGTTTGTTTGTTTTTTTCTTTTTTTGTAACATCAGTTGATAGTGATAACATTGTACCAGCCAGCAAGATATTATATACAGTAGTTTGACTATACCCATTGTGGTATCACTTGGTTAGCTGGTTATCTTGGTACAATTACTTTGAAAGCTAAACATCCCAGAAGCGCAGGTTGAATCTTGTCTGATCAGACTACTAACACCCTGAGCTTCAGAGATAACTTGACACTAACCTCTTCACAATAGCCTATCTTCATCGTGTCAAGTTACCTCTGACCACATTAGATTGCCCCCGCCGCCCGCCAATCAAATTTAAAGCCCGCACTCAATGACTCATTGAACGATCTAGCCAATGAACGCGAACGAGTCAAAGCGCGCTTTGTTGAAATCCGGACCAATCAGAGATAAGGCTCAATATCAGGGACTTGCCGTAACCTGTGGGCAGCACGCAAAATACATCATCCCTCAGTAGATAATGATGCAGGGCCTCAAACTGCTCTGGTTTCAATTCCGATATACTCATATTTTGCAAAGAATCAAGAGATAAC